GATATGATTTCATTCTGTAACAGCAATGGCCGTGTGCTTCTACTGACACTAGACCGACTCAATATGTCTGATCTTGCCCAGACGAAACCAGATTAACTAGTTTTCCCCACCTTCTGTTAGTTTTCTGTCAAATGAATGCCGGATTTTGTGTCATACACATATATTTCATTGCTCTTTCCTTCGGCTTTTAAAGAATAGATATTACTCCAAGTCAATGTGCAAAAGTTAAAGCTCCTAAAGAGCCTACTTTCATAACTTTAAAGACACTGCAATGGCTGTTGATGTGGGGAAGTCAGTATTTCAAGAATTATTCAAGCCCATAAAGACAAGCGATCAGTAAAGTGCAAAGGAAAGTACATCAAAAAAAAAAAAAAAGAAAAAAACAACAACTGGCAAACTATAGCTGCAAAGCAGTCTAATTAATCCTCAGAAAACAAATATCTTCAGAGACGTTAAGCACCTGGAAGGACTATTACTGTTTTCTCCATGAAAGGCATATGCATTTTGAAATCAGAAGAACAAGGAGATCAGCAAAATTTTAAAACTCTTAACCTTTTTGCTATACAAGGTTTTTCCTGCTATGCAGGAAAAAAAAATTGCTTGTCATAGGCTAGAAAATATAAAGTTTGGAGTACTGAAGACTGGAAAAAAGTAATTTTTACAGATGAAATTCACTTTTTCATTTAAGGCTATGCCAAAACTGTTGTCAGAAGTGCAGATGAATCTGGAAGATCATATCGGCATCTTCTGCAGAATGTAAAGCATCCACCTACAAATCCTCTTTGGATATCTAGGTGGTGCAGTGGACAGAATGCCAGGCCTGGAATCAGGAAGACTCACCTTCACGAGCTCAAATCTAGCCTCAAACACTTACTACCTGTGTGACCTTGGGCAAGTCACTTCACCCTGTTTGCTACAGTTTCCTCATCTGTAAAATGAGGAAATGGCAAACCATTCCAGCATCTTTGCCAAGAAACCCCAAATGGGGTCACAAAAAGTGGAACATGACTGAAACACAACAACAAATCTTTGGATTTTCTTTCTTTTCTTTTTCTTTTTGCTTATAAGGGGGCCTTTGCGCAAATCCATCCCCATTGAGAATGATGAACTTTAAACCTACAGGCTACAATCAATCTTAGACATCTTCTACAGGAAGCCTTTCCCAAAATCTCTTAATTCTACTAGTGCCTTCTCTCTCTCTCTCTCTCTCTGCCTTCACTTCTTATTTATCTTGAATACAGTGTGTTTGTACATATTTGTTTGCTTGTTGTCTCACCCATTAGACTGTGTGCTCCATGAGGGCAGGGATTGTCTTTCGCCTCTCTCTGTATTCCCAGAACTCAGTACAGAGCCAGGCACACTGTAGGCCCTGAATGATGTTCCTTTTAGGAAAAAGTCTGTGATTCAATGTGATGAAAAATGTGTGGCTTCAAAATGAAAAATTAAAGACTGTGTCAAAATCTTGTGACCTTAATACCAAATTGTGTAAAACACATAATTGAAAGAAAAAGATGAGATATTATATATTAAAAGTTTTAAAAGATGTAAATGATTGTCAGATTTATCGTATAAATTTAATTGACTATCCCAGTTAATTCCCACACTACTGTAAATGACACACTGTGTTCCTAAGCAACCAAAATTCAGACTACAGAAGTTCAATATTGTCCTTTAAAATGAACCTGAAACTGGTATGAGCAGGACTGCTGAGGTATATATCCCTTATAAAAAGGGACCCCAGAGGTGGGCTTCTGGTAGCCACAAAGCAGTGGATGGAGGTAAATGGCTGGAGGAAAAGAAACTAATATGCTCAAAGCTGAGGCTGGGAAGAAGAGCTCTTTTATGTCCATAGAATCCCTCAAACCTGCAGTTAAGTAGAGATGATAGCTCTCAGTGAAGTTAAGGAAAAACAGAAGAAGACTGTCCACAGCTAGGAAAAGTACACTCCATCTAACTAAAGAAAAAGAACACTAGAAAAAGGCAGTGAGTCCTAATATTTATAGTGTAGAAATATCACTGATACTAAAAGACTTGGGTTCAAAATCCTGGCTCTACCATTTACTAGTTGTGTGGCTGGGGAAAATCACGTAACTTCCCATCAGGCTCAGTTTCCTCATCAGTAAAATGGGATGGCAATATACTGCCTACATAACAGGGCTATTATTACTACAAAAAGGGGAATATATCTGATTAGAACTGAAGTCTAGAGGTTCCAGAATCCTCCTCCTGCCCTCTTCTCCCCTGTTTAAAGACTACAGGAGTAGCAGAACCACTGGACAGTAATTTTGACGCTGTATAAATATGACTACAAGTTGTTTTTTTTTAATTTCCAAGATTTTTTTCCCCTATTCTTTCCATTACGTTCCAGCAGATAACATAATGTCTGTTTGTGAATGAAGAAATAATAGTGGCTAGCATAAAAATGCTTCATGGTTTGTAAAGCACTTTACAAATACATCATTTAATCCTTACAACAATCCTGGGAGGTGGGTACTATTATTATCCCCATTTTATAGATGAGGGAACTGAGGCAGACAGAGGTTAAGTGATTTGCTCAGGGTCATACATGTTTGAGGCTGGATTTGACTCTGGTCTTCCTGACTGTAGGTCTACTGCTGTATCCAATGTATTAGGCCTGAGCTGGACTTATGCTGGGGATTGGTTTAAGGAAATTATTTTTAAAATGACTAGTGAATTTAGACTAGCTGATCACTACAGGTCCATAAGCTCTAAATCTATAAGCTAGGCTTTGAAGGAAGAGATTTAATTCTAGGCATGCAAAATGATATAAATAATGGAATGGAGATGATGAAGGACAACATGAACAGGGGTCAGCTTGACTAGAAAACAGAGGGTGTAAAGGGAAATAACAAGAGATTAAATAAATGTATTTATATAAATATATACATTATGTATTTATATACACATTTATATATAAATACATAAATATATTTGACTGTGGAATGCCTTTTAAGAAGCCAGGGGCAGGTGAGAAAAGGGCATAGGGGAGATTAAGTGGGCATAAATACCCAGAGATGGGCAATACAAGATCCCATATGAGCAATAGCAAGTAAGCCAGTGGGGCTGGTCCATGCCTGTAGGAAAGGAAGGAAGTTATGAAGAGATTAAGGAGAGAAAGAGGATGATAGTGGGACAATTAGGCAGAGAAATGAGAGGAAATGGGATCAAGTGTAGAACAGAAGGCTTGTCCTCAGCAAAGGGAAAGACAGGGAGAAGAGGAGAAAGAAAGGGGGGAGAGGGGAATAGAGGAAGAGGTTAAGAGGAAAGAGAAGGAAGAAAGGGAAAAAAAGGGAGAGAAAGAAGGGGGGAGAAAAGAGGGAGAGAATGAAGGAAAGGAGGGAAAGAGGGAGGGAAGAAAAGGAGGAATGGAGGAAGGAAGGAGAGATGGAAACATTTATCAAGTTTCTACTATGTGTCAGGAAGCAATTTACAAACATCATCTCATTTGATCGTCACAGCATCTCTGGGAGGTAGGTGCTATTATTCCCATTTAACAGTTAAGGAAACTGAGGCAAACATAAGTTAAGTAACTCGCCCAAGGTCACACAATTATGAAGTGTCTGAAGCCATATGGGAGCTCAGGTCTTTCTGACTCCAGGCCCAGTGCTCCATCCACTGCTGCCTCCAGAAGGGTCATCTTTTCATCAGAGACTGAAGGGGTGGAGTGAATTTATTTCAGAAATAGTAAACACATGCAGAAAGTAGTCTGATCTTCAATCATAAGGTAGTTGGAAGCTCAATTTTAGCGGTGACAGACTTTTGTTTTCCTTTATTGAGGGCAAACAAAAAACAACTCTAGAACACCACCCTTTAACAGGACACAATAAAGCATCTTGTTGGCTTTCAGAAGATAAACAAAAAACGGCAATGCATTCTAGCACTCATTCCTTACCTTTCTAAAAATAAAAGCCTGTATCGTAAGGTGACTAGGGGAATTCAGATACCAACCCGACCCCCGACCCCCCAAAAAAAAGCAAAAGAAAAAAGAAAAATTAAGCTGGAGATTAAGTAGCTGAAGACGACTGGACCAGGAGAACGGGAAAGGCCCCCGCTTCCCATCCCCCAATCCAAAGCTCGGGCTGGGCGCTGGAGCCCGGGATGCCCGGCAGGGGTAACCTCACCTTTCGGGAGCCCATGTCTGCCCCGCCCCCCCTTCCCACCCCACCCTCAGACACCCCCCCCCCCAACAACGCCCGGTAAGGCGGTCCCGGCGTTCATCTGTCTAGTTAAGGATTGTGTCTCGGGGTCCGTAATCTTTACAAACGCTATGGCGTTTTCAGTCCCAAACCATCTTTAGTCTTTTCCATCTTTAGTCTGACTACGGGGGTAAAACCGACTCTCCGAAGCGCGAACGACTCACCTCGGAGGAGGAGCCGCTACAGAGGGAGCCCTAGCTCTCCGAAGCCATTTCCCTTACTTCCTGTCGGGGCGGAGAACGGGAAAGGGTGGAGGGACAGGGGCGGGTCAGGCTTTTGTGTCCGAGGCCTATGGCAAACGGGCGACTTCTCCGCGGCCATGGCAACCGCTATAAGTCGGGAGGAGGGGACGGCCGCCTATTGGTTAGAATCTTTCGAGAAGGCTGGAGAAGACGGAAGCGGAAGTGGCACGTGGTAAGGAGAGGAGTGGGAGGGGAGCCGGCGGAGGCGCCGGGGAGTAAATGCCGCAGATTCTGGAAAGTTCTCATCGGGGAGCTACATAAAGCTGAGGAGGCCGGATTTCCTCTCTGTCTGGGCCGGTATTTCGGCGTGCGCGCTGCGAGCTTGCGAGTGAACGAAGGAGCAGGTGCGCGTGCTACCCGGCTAGACAGACCCGGCGAGCTAGACCAGCAGGCAGAGCGGGCAAGCGGCAGGGGGCACGTCTGTCGTTCTCCCTCCCTCCTTCCACCCCGCCCGGCGCCGTGAGTCGGGTCTGTCTGAGCCCTTCCCAGCTGAGCAGGCGCTAGACAGCGGCGGCCGCAGCAGCAGCAGAAGCAGCTTCGGCGGCGGCGGCACTCGGGCGACCCTGCGAGAAGCGGCGCGCGGGCAGCAGAAGAAAAAAGCAGCAGCAGCAGCTCCAGCCATGTCGGTGGTGGGGCTGGATGTGGGCTCCCAGAGCTGCTACATCGCAGTGGCTCGGGCTGGGGGAATCGAGACTATCGCCAACGAGTTCAGCGACCGGTGCACCCCGTAAGTGTGTGCGCGCCCCACGGGTGCTGCGACTTGGGGGGGAGGCGAGGAACAGCCGGATGAAGCGAGGGGAAGGGGCCGGGGCAGGGTGAAAGAAAGCCAGGTGATCGCGGCTTTTCCCTTCTCCACGCGCATCCCCGCCCATCTTCCCCAAATCATTGCTTTTATGAGCCCTCAGGGTCTTAAGTTTGGGGCCGGGAGGAGTGGGCGTGACCCCCTCTAGAATATGGGGGGGCGGTACGGGGGTCTTCGAGGGTGGGGGAGGGCTCATCCCTAGGATTTCCCCCCAGGGAAAGGAATGGGGGTGGTGGTGGGTGGGAAGCAGCCATCATTCATTCATTTTCTGTCGTTTTATCAACTTTGGGGGGATCTGACTGCGACAAAGCCCGAGCCTCTGCCGCTGATTCCTTGGCCGGCTTGGAGGGAGCCGCTTCGGTCTCCGCCAGCCCCCGCTTCCCCCCCCCCGGCTTTGGCTTTGGAGCCGCCTCCAGCTAGCCTGCCCGCCCGCCCCCCGCCTCGGCAGGCAGCAGCCGGAGCGTGGCTCTTAGCGCCGCGCCGCGGAGCCGCCGCGTCCTGCCGCCGCCGCGCTCGCCCTGCGCCTCGGAAGCTTCCAGAGCCCGCCGTGCTCCTGGAGGGCGGCAGGCTCCCCTCCCCCCGCGCCCCCGCCCTGACCACTGGCCGGCTGCTCGGGGTGACCGTCCGCAAACCTGCCGGGGGCCTTCGGTCAGCCGCGGCCCAGACGGGTACCGGGCCTAGGACGCCCCCCGCGCTGGCAAAGTTCGGGAGGGAGGAGGCAGACCCCGGAATCCGGGCTCTGAGCGCAGATGGAACAATGCAGCATGGTTGCCCTTGGCCAAGAGCCTGTCTGTAGTCATTCAGGGGATATTAAATATTAGGTTCGCAGTTTTGTGCTGGGGAGCGATGGGGGGAGATGCTGGACATCCCATCTGTAGGGATGGGGTAGCAAAAGGCCCCCGCCATTGGCGAATTAACGGAATTGTATCAAGCACATTGTCCTATGAAGACTCCCCCGAGCTTGGGACGACATGGACAGGGCCAGAAGAAACCATGGCTGAAAGGCAGCCCTTGTTCTCGTCCCTCAGGTATAACCACCATCTTGTGTAGGTGAATATAAAATTAGAAACCAGTGATGTGGAGGAGAGTTTTTCTAAGCATTAAGTTTGGAGATACTTGTTTATTATTCTTAGGGCAAGGCACAACTCTAATAAATATGTATTGGAAAAACTGGGGAAACAGACTGAAGCTTTCACCACTAGGGTCAGTCTGACATCAGAAAATGTACACCACCCCTCTAACACACAGACACACACACCTTTTTCCCCCAAGCAAACCTTTTTTAAAAAAATTGGAGTAGGGACCAAAAAGACCCCCAAGTTCATCATAAATGATTTGCTAGTCCATTAAAATGAGCTCTTACTGAAATATCCTCCAGAATTCAAGCAATGGGGAAATCTAGGGTGTTTGTCTAATGAGGGTCAGAAAATCTATTTAGCTACTTGCATTAGGTGTTTCCCCTCCCCCCCACTTTTTTTTTTAAAAGTAAAATGACCAAATATATGTAATCCTACTCTTCAGGCCTAAAATGCTAGAATCTTAAAATTGAGATACTATATAAATTATCTATGTAGGCTTGTACCCAGCTATTCTACCAAACAGCTCTGAAGTCCTTTACCAGGTGTTTTTCCAACCTATCAACTTTCAGCTTCTACTTAAAGGGCCAATCTTGTTGTCTTTTTCCATCCTTAAAGCCTAAATTGTCTGGGATTCTATTTTTATTCTTGTAAATTAACCATGTAGACTTAATAAAGCATTCCTCTAGCGCCCCCCCCCTTCAGTCTTTATTGGGTTTGTGGTTTTATTTTCATTGATGTAGTGTAAAGTCAGGAATACAGAGCTAGGCATTTAAATGACTTTCTGCTACTAGTCTTCCACCTTTTCCTTATCATTATCTCTCTATTCCTTTTCATTTCCCCTCCCCCTTTTTTTCTTCATGTAGGGATGTTAGTTCTAGTACTCTTGCCTAGTAGCGTACCTAGTGGATACCACTTGCCTAGTAGGCAAGCTATTTTGAACTAATAAAAAGTTTGCCTATCCTTTTGTATACATAAATGCTATAAATGAACAAGAAAACTATGAAAGAGTATTGGTAGATATTATGAAAGGGTACTATGAAAGAGTATTGGTAGATAAAGACTGAAAATAATGGAATTGTCATTTATGTCAACTCTAGGTTAAGACTAATACTCCAACCCTTAGTGGTCTGCAGCACATGAAATGGAGAAGGGATGACCCCTCAGTGCATTGTCCTAGCCTTCATCCCTGCTCCTATTTTCATTCAGAAGGAAATGAGGAAAAGGGTTCTGGGTCAGAAAAATTTTAGAGGAAGATATTTAAATAGCGATTTAGTTTATCACTTAGGAATATTTCCCATGGTATAGATGGTATTTGATACTGCTACTGAGTGGTATTCCTTAATGTGCTTGGGACCAGTAACCTTATCCTTCAAAATTATCTTTTTTGTGTTCTTAAGACCCAAAAAGTTGGCCTTATAGTATACATAGTTGTGGGAATTCCTCTTTAATTCTCTTTTCCCTAAATCATAAACTAACTTCTACCCTGATACCATCAAAATAGGCTGGCAAGCATGCCTTGATCATTGCTCTGTGGAGCTTCTACTTTGTGGGGCTCTACTTGGAGCCTGAGGTTACAATTATATTATCCCCAGTGCCTTGCAGATTGCCTGTTAATGTTGCTTTCTATTGTTTTAAAAGTGGCTTATATTTCTTCTTTAGATCAGTAATATCATTTGGATCAAAAAACAGAACCATTGGAGTAGCAGCTAAAAATCAGGTATGTCCTTTGGAGAAGGAACAGTTTTGATCACTTATCAAGGAAAAGAACTATAAGAAAATGTTAATCTTAATCATCTAAGATAAGATTATCTTTAAGTAATGCATATATGTATAAGATATGTCCGTGCATGCTAAAAGCAAAGACCTTTATTGGCCCCTTCTTATCACAAGGCCTAACACAAACAGAAAAGGCTGGCAAGAGCAATAAAAAATGGTTGGGAAAATCCCCAGAACCTTAGATACCATGTTCTTGTGCCAAGAAGGAGGAAGAAGGTGAGGAAGTCAACTGAGGTCTTTTGTAGTCTACGAACTTAATTTTGATGTAAGGAACATCTGGGTCAACCCAGTCAGGGTTTTATAGAAGGTGGCAGGGTGCCAGATGGGTCTGATTGGTTTCCAGTCCCTGATATGACAGGAGAAGCTGAGACCTTGCTCTTCATAGTACTTAAGTTTCCAAGTTAGCTTACAGGGCAAGGGTGCCAAGGAGATACCATCAAGCCTCATGTGCCTTAAACTTCTGGCACCTTCTTCACCAAGTATAAGGATTTGGAGGCTATCATAGGGAAATAATTGTCAAGCAACAAAGTACATTTAATGAGAATTTCATAGTATCTCTATAACATAAAGGATCTGTGGTAATTTGTGAGGGATCGATGGTTCTTTGTGAGGGATCATTTGTGAGGGTGATTCTGTATATACAGATTGCATCTCCTGTAATGCAGTAGTAGATCATAGATTCTGAGCTGGTAAGGACCATAGAGATGATCTAATCCAACCACCTTATTTTATAAAAAATGCCCAAGCAGGTTGTGACACAGGTAATAACCTCAGCTGCTGGGATTGCAACTTAGATCTGGCTCCAGATCCAGTACACTTTGCACAATATACTCTCTTCAAGGGTTGCTGTCCACGAAAATAACGAATCACCTTGTGGCTAGCTTGATAATGAGCCTCTGAATTTAGCCAGGCTGGTCTTTGGACAGCAGACGTGCAGCCTTTCCAGGTTGGTAGGACTGGCCAAAGCTTAGGCCCTGTTGGCAATTTTCAAGGACTTCAGTTAGAGGCTTATATTAGTCTTCACAAATTATTTAGCTTATATTAATAAATATTAAAGCAAGATTAAAACATCTAAATAACCTTCTCTTGACCTGTGTGTTAACTGTCATAGTTCTAAACTTTTTTTTTTTAAGCAATGTTTATGCATTTATATTTGGGACACAGATGAACCAGGATACCTAAAAATCAAATGAAATGACAAAAGAGTACTGCTTGGGGGTTTATTCAGAGCACTTAAGTGCTGCCATGATCATTCTGAAAAGTTCACTAAGCATCTTGGTGCTGTAGGATACTATGCCTTAGTGGTTTTAAATCAGCAAGGAGTCTGTTCCTGTGGCTGCTTTTGGTTTTCCTGTCAGAAAAAAAAAAAATAGGTGATATAAAAGAAATTCAGCCACTTTGTTTATTTTTATTGAAAGAATGGTCATGAGCTGGTTTAGTGCTCAGGGAAGCTTTGTGACCTTGGGTCTTCTGGGATCTAAGTGTATGTGCTATCGCCAGGGTAACTGTAGGGTGTTGTTCCCAGGAGGTGGGAAGGAAGGAGAATAAATACCTTAAATTTTTTTTTTTTTTTTTTTTTTTTTTTTTTGCTTCAGCAAATCACTCATGCGAACAACACAGTATCTAACTTCAAGAGATTTCATGGCCGAGCATTTAATGACCCTTTTGTTCAGAAAGAAAAAGAAAATTTGAGTTTCGACTTGGTTCCCATGAAAAATGGAGGTGTTGGAATAAAGGTAATGTAACTGCACCTTTTTTTTCTTTTTAATCTGGTAAATATATTATTCACAATTGGAACATAATTGAAAACGGGTTGATCATAGATCTTGGTCTTCGCTTAAAAAAAAATCCTGGTTATTGACATTCAACTTTAGTAGCTGTAACCTCACATATTTTTCATTTACAATTAGTTTGAAGAATATCAGATAATATAGATTACATATACTCTTGAAGCAGTTGTCAATTTCCCAACTTACTGGAAATTCTCAAGCTGCTAAAAATTAGGTGGATTTTGGAAGCTAAGTTGATTTGAGTGTATCTAATCATTAGACTTGTTATATTTATTGTTCTAATTACAGTCTTAATAAGAACATTTCAGAAGCCTCATTGCTTCATCCCAGACTACTTTCTTCCACACCTTTTGCTATAGTGTTAGACTACCATAATATTAACTCATAAAACCAGGAATGGAAACAAATTACTTATGACTGCTGTTACTTGTAAGATATCTCTGAAAAGTACCTCAACCTCTGGGAGAAAGGTGGGGTGGAAGTTTAAATATGATAATGCAAATTGTAAGTATTGAAAAGATTTGAATTATAACGGAATAAGTGCTGGAAGGTTATGGTTTAAATATTTAAGGAAAGTAGATGTCTGATTCAGGCTCACAGACATTCTACAGTTGAGGTGAGAAATTAGACATTGTAAATTCATAGAATCTTAAGAGTTTGAAGGTACTAAAACACCATGTGGGGTTTTGAAATTCAGTTTTGCAAACGTAAATAGTTTTGTATGACAACTGCAGAAAAACACTAAAAGGCAGCTAATAGATTAATCCCTTCCTAATAAATAGTGGCATATAATAAATGTAGTTGGTTGAAATGAACTCGATTTGTGTTGCAGTTATAATCTACAAAAGAATTTCTAAGGATAATTAATATTGTTACAACTGCAGAAAACAAAACTACAAATTAATCTTTTGTTTATAATAGAAACATTTTCTGGACATTGGCATTCAATTCTTTGAATGGAAAAAAATGGCTGTAGGCATTCTTCCTTTGAAAACATGCTTTATGTCTAGTTTATGTTCTGTGAATTGTGGATGTGAATACCCTTGGAGGAAAGAGAAACAATAGGGTATGATAGGTACTAGAAGGTAAATGGTATGGTCTTTCTGCTTCCTTTTTCTCTAATAGGTAATATACATGGATGAAGAACATTACTTTAGTGTGGAACAAATAACTGCAATGCTGTTAACCAAGTTAAAGGAAACTGCTGAGAATAACCTCAAAAAACCAGTAACAGATTGTGTTATTTCAGTAAGTAGTCATATTATAGATTATCTGCTTACTCATAAAGTGCAGGTGGTAGATTTAGATTTCTTTAGTTTCTCCCAACACTGTTCTAACTATATTGCACCACCTTTCTCCCCAAAGAGTATGCTGGAGACTAACTCTTAATCTTATTAAATCTTGCCACAGAAAGTATATTTTAATGATCTGATCATGGCTGGACACAGTTGGAAATTTTCATCTTATGAGCTGCTATCTGGGCCTGTCTCTGTAACACTATTCTTAGCATCCAGATACGTGGAAAGTGTTATTGGCCTTGTGTCAACATTTTGAATTGATAGCCTGCATTTTGCATATCTAAATGAACAGTTATTTGGAAAAAAGTAGAATTGTGGCAAAGCAGATGATGAAAAACAGGCTAGTATTTTGCCACTGATTGTTTTAACTGCCAGCATGTTAAATGATGACTTGACTTTTTATAAAGCTTGAGACTGGGTCTCCTCCTTGCTCAAGATGAAAATTCAATGGCTACTCATGGACCTAATCCCACTGCTGATCAGCATGGAAGCTTCATTCTGCTCTTTTTTCAGCATGGGCCAGTTTGCCCCTGTTTAGGCAAGGTTGGTGACCCCTCGCTACCAGAGTCTCACCAGATTGGTGGCTGAATTAGATAGGGCAGACACCCAACTAAGTCCTACTGTAGCTCAGAACTCTCAAACATAAGCAATGCTGTGGCAGGGGCCCCACTCATACCTTAGCTTCACTATTAATTTCTTTAGAGACAGAATAGCTATTCTGTTTCAAAGAATGATTGTGAAGACACTCAGAGGATACTATGTAAAATTGAAAAATAAAATAATTCTTCAATTCATTTTTGTTCTAGGTGCCATCATTTTTCACAGATGCTGAAAGAAGGTCTGTATTGGATGCTGCTCAGATCGTTGGCTTAAACTGCCTAAGACTAATGAATGATATGACAGCAGGTAAGAGAAAGTTTTGGTGCAGAGTAAGCATTAGAAGGAAGTCTCAAGTACCTTTGCCAGAGAAGGAGGATAAGGAACTTAAAACTAAAACAAAACTACATATCGGTATGCTACTCATCTAGAAGTTATTTGTGAACTTTGGGGTCACGTAAAAGACAATTCTCAGTTGTAGTGCAGGTGTCAACCTGCATTGGTAGAGGGAATTTGCTCAGTAGGAGTTCCCTATAGCAATGAAGTCATAGTTTGCATCAGACAGCAGAAATAACCTCTTAAAACACGCATCAGATCAGGAAACAAAAAAACTCAAAAATTTCAGGCAATAGTTTTCACAGAGTTGGTAACATAACTAACTTAATTGTTTCTTCAGGAAAGGTTCTAGGACTTTGCTGCTCTTGGATTAAATTCATCCATAGATTAAGGCCATTCCAGGTCACATTGTTTGTTTTTATGGTGAAAGAAAACCAGGCCTTCCACTCTATAAACCTCGTAGTTATTGGGTAACGGGGGTGTGAAGTTATCCACTAGATCTTAAGTAGATAGATACCTGTACTTTTGTTAGAATTGGTGGACTTAGTGTAGCCCTTTGTCAGAAAATTCTCAAACTCCCTTTAGAGTCTTAAAAATTGAGGGACCCCAAAGAGCTTTAGCTTATAAACAAAAGGTTATGTCCATCAAAATTTGCCTCGTTACAAATTAAAGCAGATATAACAATAACCTCATTACATTTTAATATAACATTTTTATGAAAGATAAGTATGTTTTCCAAAACAAAAAGAGTGGCTTCTTAAAATACATTTTTGCACATTTCTTTTATGTCCAGCATAATAAAAGACGGCTAGATTCTTGTATCTGCTTGTGTACTTAATCTGCTGTGATCTATTATTTGAAATATTTGAAGAAAATTATCTCACAGAGATATGTAGTTAGAAAAGAGAGAAGTAATTAATGGACAAATAATGTCTTAGTGTTACTTTGAAAATATTTTTCACCCCCTGTGAAATGGTCGTGCCAGATCCCCAGAGGTCCATACACTACACTTTGAAAACTGCTGTTCTAGACCAGCAAAACCAGCATTTCTTTAAGCCTAACTTTGATCCTACTTAGCCCTTTAAACTAAAGTAAGCTATTTTCTATTTAAAAGTAATCTGTATTCTATTCCATCATTACTTATGCTATAATTTTTTTTTGTATTGTGGCTTTCTTACCAACTACTCTACTGAAACTACCCTTTCAAAGATCACTTTTGACCAGTTTGCTAAATATCAATAGACTTATTTTCCTCTCTTGATCTTTCTGCAGAATTTGACACAGCTTTACTTAACCCCTCTTCTTTGAGATTTCTTTCTTCCCTTGATTTCTGGTACTATTTTCCCAGTTCCCTTATAATTCCAATCAGGACTGATTTTGCCATTCTTTGTATTTCCAGCGCGTAGCACAGTCCTGGCACATAGTGCTTAAATAAATATTTGAATGATTCACTGACTGATTTCTACAGTCGTTTTCTTACTGAAACATTCTGGGTCAGGTCCTTATCACTTCTTCCTTAGAATATGAAGCCTCTTCAGCAGATTTCTTTCCTCTAGCCTACATGCCCCACTCCAGCTGTTTTTCCCTCAGATTGGATACCAATGTCAAACTAATCTTTCTGATATTCACTTCTTGCTTGTATCTACCTTATTCAAATACCAACAGCTCCACTTTGTATAGTTAGTAAACTTTTATTAAGTACTTACCCTAAGGAAGGGCTGGGGCTCCAAATAACAAAAAGAAAGACATTCCCTGCCTTCAGGGAGCTTCCCTACATGGGAAGACCACACATAAAAGTAAGCTGGAAAGTGAGAGGGGAGGGTGGAGGTCTTTAGAGATCCCTGATGAGGTTCTTGGGGGCAAGGTGGAGAAATTCAAGAGAATACAGCATTGTGGGAAATAAATATACACCAAAGGAGCTCCAAACTTCTTATCCTGACATTCAAAGCCCTAATTTTCCAATGTTTTTTTCTTCTATCCACCTTATATTTCTTTAATTCCCAGTTTGAACTTATCACCGTTCCTCAGAGATTTCCCATTTATTTTATTTATTGCTATAATATATTTTCAAAGGAGAATGAAACTAAAGGTAACAGTGGCCTTTATACTATAAAAAGGATACATTCCCCATTTAGGTATTTCATCTTACTATTCTGTGGTATTTCTGCGTATCATCCTGTTAAGAGTTACATTGTTTTATATAACATGTTTCAATTCTTTTGTCCACTTGTTTCCTTTTTTGTAGTTGCTTTGAATTATGGAATTTATAAACAAGATCTTCCAGGCCCAGAAGAAAAACCACGAATTGTGGTCTTTGTTGATATGGGACACTCGGCTTTCCAAGTATCTGCCTGTGCTTTCAACAAGGGTAAACTGAAGGTTAGTTACATATTCCCCAGAGAAGCCACAGATTCAAGTGAGAGCAGCTTAGTGAAACTAAACAGTCAGATTTGTAACAAATATTTGATCTTAAGCAAATCAATATTTCCATCATTTCATTTGGACCCAGTGATTCTGGGTTCAGATCCTGACAAGTGAAAGAAAACAAATTAACCATGCAAGTATAAGATGGAGGAAATGTGAGTAGAAAGCTATTCATATGAAAAGAGTTTCCTGGCTCGGGTTCTGTCATGTTTTCCCAATTGACCCATGGTCCTCTACAAGTTTGATCAGTTTGCATCTGAAGTAGTGTGTCCAGCTGTGGATGCTACATTTTAGGAAACTTTTGACAGACTACCATGAATTCAGAGGAAGGCTGCCCTTAGGGGGAGATGGAAAAGCATATAGTGAGCATTGGTTTAAAGAACTTTGGTGTATTCCTGGAAAAGAAAACCTCAAGTACTTGGGATGTTATAGAGAAGGGTTAGTGCTAGTATTTGGCTCCAAAGGGCAGAACTGAGGCCAGAAGGTAGAAATTACAGATTGGCCAGTTTCAGTTTTGTTTATTCCTAACCGCTTCTTCCTGGGAGCTAGCATGTTTCCTGTCACAAGAGGTTGGAGAATAGAAAGCTAGGTTATTTGTCATTGGGAGTGTAATAGGAAGGATTTATATTTTCAGGTCAAGGCTTGCATTAGTGACCTTGAGCTTGATTTTATCGTTCTAAGAAATTGAGACTAATAGTAAAATCATCTTTTAAAAAAAGTTCTTCATATTTTATCTTTAAAATCTTATGTAAAATCTTTAAAACAAAACTTTAAAAACATAGGTAGTCATTCTAGGTAGTCTACAGAAGTAGACTATATAGGGAAGTATTTTGATTTCTTTCATCATGACCGATTTCAGTATTTCATGGAAGGTGATGTAAGTTGAAGTGTTAGAGTATCTTGACATCTAGGGAAGGGGGGGGGGGCAATGTTAGTTGCAAACTTGACTCTAAACTAGTGGATTTTTTGTTTTGTTTTGTTTTCATTAGGTTCTTGGAACAGCTTTTGATCCTTTCTTGGGAGGAAGAAATTTTGATGAAAAATTAGTGGAGTACTTCTGTGCAGAAATTAAAACTAAATACAAATTGGATGCCAAATCTAAAATTCGAGCCCTCCTACGTCTGTATCAGGAATGTGAGAAACTGAAAAAGCTGATGAGCTCTAATAGCATGGACCTCCCACTGAATATTGAATGCTTTATGAATGACATAGATATTTCTGGGAAGATGAACAGGTGAGTTGTTGATATGAAATTCTTGTCAGAAGAGTCAGGACTTATAAGTTATTTTCATAAGCAGAACTGAAGCCAAAAATATTAAATATCTTTGAAGAGTGTCATACTTTGTTGTGAACATATTTGGTGCAATCTTTTAGCTGAATTTTTTTTTCTATCATTTTTGAGATTGTGTTTATTGGCCTCTCAAAAGTTTGAGTTGGGCTGACTTTAAGCCCTGGAAAAAAAAGAGTAGTGTGCCATACCATTCCTTGCATTCATCCCTTTCTCACTACTCAAAAAGCTACCATACTAGTTCCACGTGGGTTATTAAAATAACTTTCTAATCAGTCTTTCTCCCTCAAGCCTCACTCCATCCCACCCCATCTTCCATTGAAGTTTTCTTTTCCCTCCACCCCTCATTGCCTTTAGGAGCAAATTTGCAGCCTTCTATATTGTTCCTCTCTCTCCCCCTCCATGATGCTGCCAAGGTGGCTTTCTTTGCTCTTCCTCACATGTGACACTGTCGCCAGCATCTATGCTTTTGCAGCTTATCTCACCCTTGTCTGGATTACACTCCCTCCTCATCTCTACTTGAGAGTCCCTCTCTTCCTTTAGAACTTGACTGAGGACCTCCTTCTACATTAAGCCTTCCTTGATTTTCCCCTCCTCCCAACTGAAATGCATTCTTAGATTTTTATAGTATATACTTAAATATGTGCATGTAAACTCTTTGATCTGAGCAGGCACTATTGGATTTTTGTCTTGATATCCCTACTCCCTAGCACATAGATGTGTGGTAAAGGCTGGTTCATTATTTGAGTGAGTGATTGATTCCTTGAACTGTGTTTCTGGGCTACATACTAGAAAGTTCCCTAAGTTTAGAAAGAACTTCACTGCCTACGTGTTTAAGTGCTGAAACACTAAAGTTATACAGAGTATCTTTTGGTTTTTTTGTTTCATTTTGCAAAATCTTCTCTTGTCCAGATCTCAGTTTGAAGAGTTATGTGCTGATCTCCTGCAAAAGATAGACAAGCCCCTGACCTCATTAATGGAACAAACTGAACTCCAAGTAGAAGATGTAAGTGCTGTGGAGATTGTTGGAGGCACCACAAGAATCCCTGCAGTGAAAGAGAAGATTGCCAAATTCTTTGGGAAAGACGTCAGCACCACTCTGAACGCCGATGAAGCTGTAGCCAGAGGGTGTGCCCTACAGGTAGGCCCTGCCTTCAGCTAGTCTCAAAAAAAATGTTATCTAGACTGATGAATTGTAGAAGATAGGATAGCCTAGCATCCTACCCAGGCCTGGGAGGGACCAGGCTGTTAAAACTATCTCCTGGCCTACTCCTATCTAGGGTTTCTTTCAAAAAGCCCTTGGTGTAACTCAGTTTCTCAAAACTGAGAGGAGTTGGTGTTCTCATTCATGTCATTCTTTCTACTAACACGTACCTGGCCTTTGCATGGATTTCCCCTTAGTATCTCTAAACGGGGAGTTGTTGTGGTGGTAGTTGTTTAAGTCTCAGGGGAAGGAAGATAAAAATAACAACCGAGTCATTTAACCTCAGAAACCATTTAGTACAACCCGAACCTCAATGAGAATCTTTTACATCGTAATCAGCAAGTGGTTGTTCAGCTTTTGCTTGAAGACCTTTACTCAGGGAGAATCTGCTAACTCCTGAGGCTGCCTTATTCTCCTCCAGAGATATTAACAGAACCAGCCATGCCCAACCACGAATACTGTCTCAGGACAGCCGTTCTTTTCCTTTGGCCAACTCTAACTCTAGTTTGCCGTTTTTTCCACTTCCAAACTGATTGATCTTCTTACCTTGAAAATTAATGCTTGGTGACTGAGTGATTGGAAATAATTTCAGGCAAAGAAGGGGGTGCTTGCCAAGACTCCATCCCAGTTCTGTCCTGAAAGGGAAGTGGTTTTTATATATAAATGCTTAATGCTTTTTGGTGAGAACTTTTAAAGAAGTTTAAGATGAGAAGGCAAGGGAAAATGCCTTCTAAATCAAGAAGAGACAAAAAATTAGGCAATAGAATTATACCGATATTTCTCAAACTCATCGAGGGTGGGAGGAATGTTTACACTAGTACAGATTACAGATCAATATTAAGGCTACTGCACGTTGGAGAGCTCGATTAATTCCAAATAGGTATTTAATGATAGCAGTACCATATATGAAGTGAATGAACTAGCTAAGTCTGGCCACTTGGACTTTATTTTTTAACTAAATTTCGTTTTTTTCCCCTTTAGTTTCTATTTTCCATTCCTAATTTTCTCCCTTCCACCTCTCTCTCCTCTACCCATTGAGAAGGCAGAGAAAAAAAAAACTCATTACAAATACGCATAGTCAAAACAAATTCTTACATTAGCCAAGTCTAAAAAAAAATATGCTTCAACCTGCACTCTTGAGTCCATCTCCTCTCTATCTGGAGGTGGAAAGCATGTTTCATCATGAGTCTTTCAAATCTTTGGTTATTTGTAGATCAGAGTTTCTAAGTCTTTAAGTTGTTCATCTTTACAATATTATTCTTGCAGAAATTGTTCTCCTGGTTTTGCTTTACTTTGCATCTGCTTATACAAGTTTTCCCAGGTTTCTCTGAAGCTATCCCCTTTATCATTTCTTACAGCACAGTGCTATACTACTCATATTCCATAAGTTATTCAGCTACTTCCCAATTGAGGGACAACTCCTCAATTTCCAATTCTTTGCCACTGAAAAAAGAGCTATGGTGACTTTTTGTACATGTGAGCCCTTTGCCTGTTTTTTTGATCTTTCTGCTGTATAGATCTAGTATTGCTAAGTATTAATAGCTTTTTGGGCATGGGTCCAAATAACTTTGCAGAATGGCTGACCCATTCCATAGTTCCACCAACGGTGCCTTAATGGCCCTGTTTTCCCCACAGCATCTCCAGCATTTGCCTTGTGGGGGGGGGCGGGGTATTAACTTATCACCTGGCTCTCTTTTACCCTGCTCAGCAAGACATGCCAGGTAAAAATCTTGCTGAACTTAAGAGATCATTAGAAAACAGCTGTAGGGTATGCAAACATTTTAGGTCAGTATGGGAAGTCAGACAGTGTCTTTAAGGGCTTTACATAGCTTCTTCCTCAAATCTATGTCAAAAAATATTACAGGAAGTTGTAAAGTGATCATTAAGAAAAATTGGATCGGGGCAGCTAGGTAGCACAGTGGATACAGCATGGGCCCTGAAGTCAGAAGAACCTGAGTTCAAATCCGGCCTCAGCCCAAACACTTGACACGTATTAGCTGTGTGACCCTGGGCAAGTCACTTAACCCGAACTGCCTAAGCAAAAAAAAGAAAAGAAAAGAAAAATTGATCAACTGTGGTTAACTTCATTCGTTGTAGAAGGTTTCTTCTTAGGTGCCAGATAGGCTGAATGCTTAAGCATTTAAAAAGCATTAAAAAAGCAAAATTAACCTTAAAAGATGAGATTTGCCTTTTAAAAGGGTGTTAAATTAGATCTCAGGAGCAATGATAAAGATAAACCAGTGTTAATCAAAGTAGTGCTATTGAATCAGAGTTATCATATCTTGGAAGAGCAAGAGATGTAGAAAATAACGTCTTTGAGGAGAATTTACCTTTTTTGTGGGATATCTAATATTAATGATGATAATAGCAGTAACTGTCATTTATGTTTTAAAGTTTGCCAAGAGCTTTGGAGACAAATGCAGGCTCGGAACATAGAGTATCACTGACTCAACGTTTTGGAAGAAACTGAATTCTTCCTCTTGGAACATCTTTAAATTAATCAGAATAGATTTGATTATTTTCCTTGACCTGGCTGTTTCTCCTAGTGTTAGCAGACCTTTGGTCTAACCATGGTTTCTACCCCCTGCTTTATGTTGGAGAAAATTAAGGCCCCTGTGACTTTTCCACTATGATAAAAAGTTAGACTTAGGGCTAGACTCTGTCCTAGAAACCTCACTGCAGTGCTATTGATACTCTACCCATTGTCTGTCTTTTAAATCAGATAGGTGACCTTCTCAATTAAGTTATTTTATTGAGTGAATTTAGGAGCAGTAGATGCCTACCCCGATATTCACCCTTTTCTCTCATTTATAAAATATTATGTGAACATCCTGACATAGAATTGAATGTACAACCCTGTAGGTTAAATGTTTTCAGAGTATGTTATCCTTATGTCTTTATCCTAGAACTTATGTTTTATATTGTTAAGTAGAGGACAGGAGTCAGGTCATATGGTTTAATTTATTTAAACATGCATGACTTTTCAGAAATGAGTATACATGTTCTCTTATTTGTATGAGTGATCCTGAAAAGACCATTGGGGACCAGTGGCTCTTCCGCTTCAGAGTTCTTATATAGTCTTTCTATGTTGAGCAGCTGTGGTCCTGTCATCCCATCCCTGTTGAAATTCTTACAGGCCTCTAATTATTACACTCCTTGCAACTACCTGTTCAAGCACATATACTTTTGTTCAGAATAATTGAGTACTTCAGTGTTGTTCATGATAAATAATACAGAGTTTTAAAGAACATTCAAACCCACCAATCATATCATCTTTGTGTTATAAAAAAGAAAATTAAGGCAAAGTATGACTTAACATCCCGTAAGGAACTATGACAAACCAGACTATTTTTTTCTTTCAGTGTGCCATCCTCTCCCCAGCATTTAAAGTACGAGAGTTTTCAGTTACAGATGCGGTTCCTTTCCCAATCTCCTTAGTCTGGAACAATGACTCAGAAGATGCTGAAGGGTAGGTAGCTGAAATTTTTCTAAAGGAGACAGTTGTTTTAACATAAAAGAGAAAAAATGACTAATATGCTTTAGGAAGGTTTTCATAGGTGATATCTCAGGATCTTCTGATCAAAGTTGTCACTATTATTATATTTATTTAGGTAAACAGAATGAGTTAGAGAGGAGCATCGTTTTCAGGTTGACTATTAGGATTTAATTGAAGATTATTTTACTGCATAAAGTGGAAATATTAATGACCTTGTTTAATGACATTTTTTTCTCTTTTCTTCTAACTTTAGTGTTCATGAAGTGTTCAGCAGGAACCATGCTGCTCCTTTCTCCAAAGTTCTCACCTTTTATAGGAAAGGTCCCTTTGAGTTAGAAGCCTTTTACTCTGATCCTGAAGGCTTTCCATACCCAGAAGCAAAAATTGGTAAGTACAAGTTACCAGTATGCTATTTTTTCCCAAAATGATATAGATGAAGTTGTAATTAATAACTGTGTGACACTAGGTATTACAACTAACAAACGCTTTGTTATACATAGAATTTCTTTGAGTTCAGATAGAAGGTAAAACACCACAAAGCACCGTCTTTATATTAAACATTACTGGTTCTTGCTCAGTGTTCATTTTTAATCTGTGACATTTATTTAGTGCTTTAAGGTTTGCAAAGCACTTTGTTTTCTTTTGATCCTCACAGCAGCTCTGGGAACTAAGAGGTGGTGTCCCCATTTTTACACATGAATAAACTAAGGCTCAAAGGTTAAATGACTTGACTGGTCACAGCTAGTAAGCGTTAGAGGCTGGATTCAAGTATGTCTGTCATGCAAGTCACTGAGATCCATCCCTCCCAATCATCTAGTATGAGCCCTTCATTTTAGAGGTAAGGAAACTGACTGGTGATGCAAGAAAGTAACTCTTTCAGGAGAGAGGGTGTGGTACACGCCAAATGTTATCTTTCAGGAGGTTTTAACCCGCCTACCCCCAGAATTCTTAATAATAAATAAAACCTGGAATGTCTTACCAGTCCAAGCCCATAATAATTATCTTTTTTCTGAATGGTAATTACTTTTTGCCATGTTGAAAATAATTTCAATCTTTTGTATTCTTAATTATAAATGTAATTTGTATTCTTAACATTTGTATTCTTAATTATAAATCCTCCACATTGTCCTCAAAAAAACATAGAGAGGGAAGGTAGAATTGACTAATCATAATAATTTAAAACTACTCTTTAAAAGACCCACTAATGGAAGTTACAATTCAGATTGAAGTTAGTGTATAGTGTTTGAAGTATCCTAACAGTATGCTGAATCTCATCTAAGTTTTTGTTAGTGTTATGTTTTAAGAGGAGTGTGGGGGGCAGTGAGGTGGCACAATGGATAGAGCAACAGGTCTGAAGTCAGGAAGGCCTAAGTTCAAATGCAGCCTCAGAAATTTATTAGCTGTGAGATCCTGAGCAAGTCACTTAGCTTCTCCTTGCCTCAGTTTTCTCATCTGTAAAATGGGGCTATTCACAGCACCTACCTCCCAGAGTTGTTGTGAGGATCAAATGAGATAATGTTTGTAAAGCAATTGGCACATTGTAGGTGCTATATCACTGTTAAAGAGTGTTATATTTTATTGCCCTCATTATGGGGGTGGGGGAGTACAAAGAAATTAATCTCCTTGAAGTTAGGAGTCAGGATGTGAGTATACACCAACCAGTCCAAAAAAGCCTTAGAGAATATATTAATTAGTATGTATTCCAGACAGCAGAATGTTTGATTCAACCTGTAAATGCTCCAGGAATTAAAGAAGAATTATGCACTACAGTAATTCAAGAAGGCTTTTTTGAAAAAAGAAGGACCTGGAGTAGGCTTGGAAAAAATGTAAGCAATAGATTAATGGAGGACCAAGGCAAGAAGAGCAGCCTGTTAGAGCTAGTGTGTATTTATTGGTTTTCTCTCTTGTTCTTTCCTAAAATCTAATTTTGGGGCATGTCAGTATTGCAGTCTTTGACACTCTTCCAAATGTGTTCTTCTGTTTTAGGCCGCTTTGTAGTCCAGAATGTTTCAGCTCAGAGAGATGGAGAGAAGTCTAAAGTCAAAGTCAAAGTACGTGTCAACACTCATGGCATTTTTACAATATCTACTGCATCAATGGTAGAGAAAATCCCAACAGAAGAAAGTGAGGGTTCCTCCATTGAAACAGATATGGAGCATCAGAGCCGACCTCCACCTGAAAATGCAGATGTTGATGTAAGTTTGGGGACATGGGTATGAACTATGTGGGAAGTAGATAGAGTGGTACAGGGCCATCTTAAGGAGCTGGTAGAAGGGTGTAAAAATAAATTATTCCAACCTATCAAAGTCGTCTAAGGGAAGTAGTAGTAATGCATTGAGAAATGTGTTTTATAGTTTCGTCATATAGAACTTTGTCCTTTATCTTTGTTACCTGAAGCAAAGCAGTTTCTAATTTAAATGTTACTCTAGATCTTGCTAATTTCAGTATGCTGCTAAACATGAGGTAGAAATAATTGAAAGTGTTTTACACATTAGAGGTATTTATTGAATGTTGTTTTGCTTACCTCACTTATACCATAGAAAAAACTACTTGGTTTGTCTAATAAATATTAAAGCTGATATCATCCTACCCTGCCACCCTGCATGGAAAAAACTGGCATTTATATTCCTGAATGATTTATTCTTTGTTCTTTTTGTAGTTTAGAACACTAGTTTAAAAGGAGCATAACTTATTACTTACTGAATGATAGAGAACTGCTTCTACATAACATAGATCTCAGATTCCATTGGTAAGAATCATAGCAGCTGCATAGCCAGTAGTGAGAAAAAATCCTAAAACAGCAACTTTAGTAATGTATTCATTAGGGATTTTCTCTCTCTTTCTCTCTCTCTCTTTTTTTTTTAATTTGTGAGGCAATTGGGGTTAAGTGACTTGCCCAGAGCCACACAGCTAGTAAGTGTTATGTGTTTGAGGCTGGATTTGAACTCAGGTCTTCCTGAATCCAGGGCCGGTGCTCTATCTGCTGCGTCACCTAGCTGCCCCCAAAACTTTTTTCCTTTTTTTTTTTCCCCCTTTTTTCCATTAGGGATTTTCAAACAGACTTTGGTCAAGGAACTCGTGTAGCAAAACTAAAATTCTAGATTAAAGACATTACCACCCCAGACTTCAGTGATACTGGGCAAATAGTAGTCTCTTCAATCGAAGGAGATAAGTTTACCAGTGTCTCTTTTTCAGGTGTCCCTTCATTAAACATCTTTATTGGTATTTTTTTCCTTATTTGCTCTCCCCTGCCTTTTGGACTCCTAGTAAAGTTTACAGGAATCATGTATTGCTTTAGCCACCCCAGAAGCCTACATGACTGAAAGGGAGTCTCAAGGGGAACAGTTAAGGGTTTGGGGCTTTCCTCAGAGTATGAAAGAAACTATAGCCAACTCTCAATCATCTGGTGATGTAGGGTGACTGTCTACAGAGAGTCCCAAAATGTTCTCCACTAAACTTTTAGTGAGACTTCTTTGCTCTGTCTACTAAGCAAAATAGCCTCTCTCTGCTTTTGTGTAACCCCTGTGGAGTGTTCTCAGCTGCATTGAAAATTAAAGGACCCTGCTGTAACCTGCATACTGCAAAGATGAGGGCATTCTCTCCATGTAATTGAGAGTTGGCTGTATATACCCTGAACACCAGGAACTGAGAATGAAAGTCACACCAGAGGCCAGGGCATAGAATCAGGGCTGTCACTTTTGAGGGCCCAGCATTATGGATCCTGGAGAATTGTGTACGTTTCTGAAGTAAAGATCGTCACACTTGGTGGTTGTCATCACATTGCCTACTTTCTAAAAAAGCTATGTTAATTTCAACCAAATTTTTTTACAGGTTCTCAGTTTCAGATATTGAATTCAGCTTGCTTTGATCAGATACTTTTTTCCCCCTAGAGTATAGCAGAAATTGAGTGTACTGACTTTTGATGCCCTTTAGCTTTAATAAAATCAAGTACACATGCTTTCTACATCCTTTGTGCCTGGGCTTTCATTTCAGAAAAATATCCAGCAAGACAACAGTGACGCTGGAACACAGCCCCAGGTACAAACTGATGGTCAACAAACTCCACAGTGTCCCCCTTCACCTGACCTTCCCTCTGAAGAAAACAAAATCCCTGATGCTGACAAAGTGAGTGATTCTTCTAGTTCATTCCATTAGAAAATGTTACAACGTGTAAGCATTAATCATACCATACAAAGTTAACCTGTTCTTCTTACGTAGGATTTTCATGTTAACTTTTTTTAAGTAGCAACACTGAAGTCAATCCAATGTTTTGCTTTACTTCCAAAAGCTTCTGTTGATTTGCTGCCATTCAGTAGTAGAAAATTAGTTAATTCATTACCTTAGGATATTAACTCTTGGCAGCAGACATAGATACAATTGTATTGCATGTTTTCAGTTGATCACTTTAAGTTGGTTTTACCTTTTTTAACGTATTAGAAAATAAATATGTGTAGGTAGATTGATTCTTAGTATATTTTCTCCTCAAGTCTTTTGTTTTGTGTTGAGAAAATTATGAAGAACTAGTAATGAACAGAACATTTTAAAAGCAGTCCTCACCTCCCCCATAACATGGATTTTACATGAATATGTGTAATGATGAGCAGCAGCACCATGCAGCTGTTTGTCTGCATTTATACAGCCACCTCTCAATATTTTCTAATAGAACATTTGATATATTCAGTTGGCGTTGATGGTCTGCATGTGCAAGTATAACTAAAACCTAATTTGCCACTTGGTCATTTTGCACTGAATGCATGTGAAATTTGTTCTCTAATAACTGTCCATCTAAAAGACCTTTCTGCTTTATTTGTCCAAAGTTTTTACTCAAAAAAAAAAAAAAACTCCATTTTTTATAATTGAAATTCTGCTGTGGTTTCTCAGCTGCATGTTTTCACTTTTTATACCATATCGCTTTAGGCTTTGTTTCAATTAGTTCCTTAAAGTGATTCCAATGTCATAACTTTTTAGTCACTTACCATTCTTCATCTTGTGATGACATCACAATATCTTGGATATTTGTCTCTACTGTCCATTTATCTTTATGATCAAATTTTGGAGTTTGATTATAGGTTTCTTCCCTTTTCCATCCCATCCTCCAGTTAAGACAAGGTTGATTGATAGAATTAAAATTCAGGTCATCTCTATTAAATCCAGGTTGCACTCCCATGGTAAAAGCCTAACATTACTTTGTGTAGGCCTTTTTTTTTTTTTTTTTTTTAAGTCAATTTTGGTTAGTACCAAAATCTACCTCCCAGAGGTCGTAGTAGTGGTCTTGATCTTGTTTCCATGATATATGCTTTCTGATAAGACTGTTTGCCCAAGTAATAAAAATTCTTTACAGTTGTCAGTTCTGTACTTCTAATGAAGATCTTGGATCGAGACTATGCCTTTTTATTCCTAGAACTTAATGCAGCATGCTACACACAGTAAGATACTCCTGCTTATATGTGTCATGACCGAACTCATCTTTTAAGTGCTTTGCTGATGTAGAATAGTCAAACACTTACACGTGTGCTTTAGGGATATGATTGCTATTGTAACACCCCTTGTGAATGGTAGTGTTTGTGAGCAGAGTTTATGGAGTTTCTCAGTTCCCCAGGATATTGATAGCATCTCCTAGGTCCCCTATTGATAAATCATCAAACATGGCTATATGGAAATGGTGAACTTCATTTTATTACACATAGCTCTTTATTACAGCTCTTTCTCCCTTCTGATAGGGAAGGGATAAAATGAGACTATATATTCTGATCACCAACTTTCAACGATTGCCGCACGTTCCTGGTAGCAAATTTTCAGATCCTAAATGATAGTAAAATATTGGCCATGCTTGTCAGTTGCTTTCCTTCTTGAGTTACAGAAAAGATTCTTTGAAATCTTATAACCTCGTTTGCTACTCTTTAAATATTGGGCAACAATTTATGCAATACCTTTGTTCTTTCAGCCTAACAACTTCAGTGATCTGCCATCAGGTCCGTTAGCTTTGACAATTTTTTTTCCATTGTGTAGCAGTAGTAGCCTCAAATTAGCTTATCACACCCATGTGCTTGACAGAATTTCTTCCAAACAGTAGAAACAAAACTTAGTCTAAATAACTCTAAATAACAGGAATCCTGAAGTGGCCCTCTATACTAATCAGTGGTATTAGAAATGTGGATTATTCCTCATACCTTCTTTAAATCTGTGGGTAGAAATATTCATGCTTTTATTAGTCTGCATGTCACTCTTTGGCTTCATCTTTTACCCACTGATCATGTTTTTTAGTTTTCTGTAAACTTTATTATTGTAGTTTTTTTGTATGTCAGGAGAGCATTGCTTCCCTCTAATAGTTTAACTTCCCTTTCACTCTCCTCAGTGCCATTATTAATGATGGCTATCTGGATGGTCAAATTATAGATGCATTACTCTTGGGAGACGATAATTGTCTGGTCCAAGTGGAATGCCAGAATGTTTCTTGTCAGCATCTTTATTGCTTGTTTTAGATAACATTTTGCAATGCATACTAGTCACATTGTTAGTCAATTTAGTCTCTTAGGTAAATAGTCTATCCTTTATTCACTATTGTATATCCTTGTAACAACCCAGATGTCAGTAAGGGAGGACTGTTTTGACACTTGCCATATCTGCTTCTCCACTAGGTAGAAGAGGCTATAGCATTCATAAGTTCTAGTCACTGAGTAGAAATGTGAATTGTTGCTATTGGTATTTTCTAGTGCTTAAGGGGAAGTAAAGTTTTTGGTCAAAGTTTAGGGACCAACTTGGCTAACAAACTGTGTGAACTTAGATCCCCAACTCTCTGAGCCTCAGTCACGTTTTATAACTTATTCAGGCTTGCCTCAGATGATCTATAAATTTCTATCTCATCCTGTCCTTCTTATCCATAAATTTCCTTAAGATCCTTTGCATGATATTCTATAATACATTATGGACCAGCTACTTTATTTACTCCTATTTTGAAATATTTGTTATCTGATCAGCTTGCCTCACATTGACAAGTATGATAAGCCTGAATTTTTGTAGTTCTCTTGCTTGTGATTAGGATGTGGAAATATGTACCTTTCGGGTAGTAGAGAGGGGGAAAGCATGGATAATGAACAAGTATAAGAAGAATTTCTGAGCCCTATTTAAGCCTTGTGTTTACAAAACAAAATTTTTTGGTAGCTGCTGAGTCAGATGATTTATCACTCTTTTTCTGTCACTTAGCTACAAAGCTGGTTAAAAGTAATGAAAAGACCAAAGGCATAAGTAGCTGAAAAGAGAAATATTCAAAATCCCCATTAGGTATTTATTTCCTTAGGCCAAAATTCCAGAAAGTCACATTAACCATAGTGATTGTCCATTTTGTTGGGACATCTTGTTTTGTAAAAGTACATGATAATGCTGGAATATAGAAGTAATAATTGTAAGTAGCACTGATTGAATTTTCATTTGAAATGCTATCACATTCTTCTTAAACTAAGGATGTTGAGAATTTGAAGAGATCATAGAAGAGCCACAAAGACGGAGAAATAGGGGGACTGAGGCATAATTCTTTGAGGATAGCATAAGCATCATAGGAGAGATTTAAGTAGATACAAGAAAAATTCTGACGATGAGGCATGTTAGTCATTAGAATACATGCTTATTGGTAGTTGTACAAAAGTTCAACCATACAGCACTATCCCATTTCTGTGATTATGATTATGATCCTTACTAAAGATGGAGGAGATGGTTTCTCAGTCTAGTGATGAATTCCATTTTATTTGTGTAGATGTGTCTGTGTATTTTTTTTGAAGGAATACTTAAGAATTGTTTTCTCTCTTGAAGGCAAATGAAAAGAAAGTAGATCAGCCTCCAGAAGCTAAAAAACCTAAAATAAAGGTGGTGAATGTCGAGCTTCCCATTGAAGCAAACTTGGTCTGGCAATTGGGAAAAGACCTTCTCAACATGTATATTGAAACAGAAGTAAGTTTCCAGTTAAGTATTTTCTTTCATAGGTCTAACTGTGACTGATGTGTTTGTTTCATTCTCTGTGTGTGTTCAAATAAGTTTTAGTTTAACTTGAACTAACGAAACTAGAGAAATATGTAACTACTAATAAAAAGTTGTAAATGGGTCTTATAGAATCCTGCCAGTGAAACTGTCTTACTTGTTTCTGTACCTAAACTTCCGCATATTTAATGTGAATTTCTTAATGGATGTATTTGGTGTGAACTGCATGTTCATGGACAAACGTTGGCCACATTGAGGAAGCTTTAAAAAAACCCTCAAAGATAGCCTTGTTGCTGATAGCTAGGCTTTGGTCCTGCTTGACTTAACTGAGCCTCAGTGTCCTCATGCATAAAGTAGGGATAATAATCTGTAGTACCTCCATCACAAGAGTTGTGACACTCAAGTGAGAACTATGGAAAGCACTAACTTTCAGCCTTGTAAAAGTATGGTGACGATAGACTCAAGAGACTCACAGATTGATCAGCGAGGAACCTGAGAAAATCTAACTTAAGTCTGCACAACATGTTGCCTGCGAAAGGATTTCTAGTGGCCTGTGAAAATTGTAAAGGATGTAAGGCCTGCTGTTAACCCCTTCGTTTCACAGAATACAGGTTGACCTGCCAAAAATCATATATAGGTAGTAAATGGAAAAGTCAGTATCCCGTGCCTGATCTGTTGTTCTTTCCCATTGCACTATGCCATTTCTCTGTTGTGGATGACACTTTGGCAAACATGTTGTTTATTAAGTTTTTTGCTAAGTGACTGCTGGAATGGAAATAGTTTTTGAAGTCCTATCCCAGTCATTATAGGATGCTCTAAGAGCATTTGGGGATCCAGTTTTCCTTCTTACTGCAACATAGTATTTATTGCAGATGATGGGAAGGGTCACTGTCTATAGATAGAATAACAAGTCTCACTAATAAAATAGTTGCACTTATTTTCTTCGTGTTCATGAATTAAGTTTACTTATAGGTGTCTTAACCAAAGAGAGCCATTGTTCTGGTTTTAAAATGTCATGAAGTTATTTGCCTACGTAGTTCTTTTTATACTGAGAGCAAAATGTGTTGGCTGTCATAAACCAGAAGTATATTTGATACACACAATCATGCAATCAATTTTAAAAATATGTTACTAACTTTGGGCTCTTTTTAGCAAGGTTTGATGAGCATAATATCTGAGATAAATTCTTTTTTCTTCTTGCAGGGCAAGATGATCATGCAAGACAAGCTCGAGAAAGAGAGGAATGACGCCAAAAACGCGGTAGAAGAATATGTCTATGAATTCAGGGATAAGCTGTCTGGGCCGTATGAACAGTTCATATGTGAACAGGTATGGTAGCTGTCTAACCATGAGACTTACTCTTCCTGATGATACAGTCTGTTGACTGTTAGATTTTGTTTTCTGCTCCACAAAACATTGTGTAGTTTAAGCTTATAGAAACTGAAAGCCCTTTAAGTTTGAAGCTTGTCAACCAGAGTTGTCTGTTTTCAGATGGCAAAGGAGTACTGACAGCAAGCAAGCCTATGTTACTTGGTACCAGTGACTTCTCAAAACCAAAGTCACAAACCTAAGCTGTATAGTTTTTGTCCTTTGCAATTTTCTGGGGTGATTTTTTTGTTTTGGGGTTTTTTTTTAACTGTGTCCCCAAATTCAGTTCAGATGAAGGATGCTGCTGAGTGTAGCTTCTCATGATTGTTTCTGACTGCCCTTTCTCAATCTTACTGTGTCACCATTTGTATCAACCCCTAACTGTATATATATGTCCAGGCTCTATCCTGGGTTCTCTTTTTCTCCTGGATTTTTTGGGTGACTATCAGTTCCCATGGGTTCAATTATCACCTATACAGATAGATTAATCTTGATATCAGTAGATAAATATCTACACATTATTTCCCAATAGATTAATCTTGATATCAGTAGATAACTATCTACATATGAGAAGTTGGACCAGTTAATGGTAGGACACCTAGGTATAGAGCCTCTTGCTTAGTTTTGCAAAACATAGAAGTTTTGAGGAATAAATGAAATGGTTGTCATGTATCTTGTTTTGATTTAGAAATTAGGCACTCCAATTAAGATTAGATCTCAAGAAGATGAGGAATGTCAAAATGTTTGAAGAACTAAGTACAAATACATGCATACACACAGACACTATCTTTGCTTTTGTACAAAGTTTATACAGTGGCACATATTAAGCATCTAATAAATACTTATTAATAAGGCCTGATCCCAAATACTCATTTGGCTTCTTTTTGAATTGGAAGCCAAAGTCTAGAGCAGGTCACGGGGAGACTCCGAATGTTTCTAGGACTAATGCTGGACATTTCAGGTCTTTTCCTAGGTTACTCCAAGGATGGTCCATTCCAGTTCATTTTAAGACCCTTTATTTTAGTAGAACCTAACATTCTGGTCAGCTCTAGAACCTATTAACTTGGGAGCATAAAGAGGGTGGGATGAAAATGACATTTCTGGGTAATCTACTTCAAACTCCAGGAATTAGGGAGAAATTTATAACATTATGAGTTTGGGTAATGAACAGTTGATTTAAGAATTTGTTTAAACGCTCACATGATGAAATAATTTAGTGGATAGACTTACTGGCTAAGAACCAAGATGTTAGCTCTTTGTTGATCAATCCAGATGTCAGCTGATCTTAATTAAAGTTGAGTGACATTGATGTGTATTAGGATACTGAAGTTGAGTGTTTTAGCATAACCGTTACTTCTTACTTTCCTCATAGGGCTGTTTATTGTGAAGTTTAATGAAAAATTTATTGTGAGGTCTCCATGCAAATAAGTAGTGGAAAGAAAAATTAGTCTCCTCAACTTACCTTAAAAGTGGGAAATTACTGGTAGAGTCCTTTGAGACTGATTGAGCCAGGTGCACTAACATTGGGCTGCTTGCAAATTACCTGGACTCCTCAAATTACATTGTAAGCACAATAATAATGTATGTATTTTCCAGATAAAATAATTGAAACCCCAAGGTTATGATTTAACAGGCTACTGATTAGAAATGTCATTATGATTCTTCCAAATCCTCTTGAAGAATTTTATGTATAACAAATAAATACTATATACTTTACCATTATTTGATGCAGATCCACTTAATATTCTTATACTGAATTATTTCATTTGAAGAAAGTAAATCCCACTTATCTACCTGGGGCAGGATATCTATCAGTCATCCTGGTTCCCATTCTTCTTTCTGAAGGTTTTACGTGGGCTTAAGTACACATTATGACCAGTACAGCTTAGCTCCACAAAATAAGACCTACAATTCATAAATGTTAGCACTTCTTATGAAATAATTCTTAGACTCAGTTGTGGTAAAGCCAAATCTGAATACTCAACTTTTCGTTTTCTAGGATCATCAAAATTTCCTGAAACTCTTGACAGAGACTGAAGACTGGCTGTATGAGGAGGGAGAGGACCAAGCCAAACAAGCATATGTTGACAAGTTGGACCAGTTGATGGTAGGATACCTGGCCATAGGGGCTATTCCAGGGGTGGGCAAGGTGCAGCCTCAAGCCACAGGTTTTACCCACCCTTGAGTTATTTCTTTGTTTTATAAAAGTTAGATAAGTCTTGCAGAATAAATGAAATGGTTGTCATGTGTCTCGTTTTGATTTAGAAATTAGGCACTCCAATTAAGATTAGGTTTCAAGAAGCTGAGGAACGACCAAGAATGTTTGAAGAATTAGGACGAAGGCTGCAACACTATGCAAAAATAGCAGGCGACTACAGGAATAAAGTGAGTCCTTCTGCATATATCGAGGTGAAAACTATGTAGAAATTAACCACTAACAAATGAGCCAACTGGGCAACTTCCATAACCAGCAAAATTCCCCTCAGAAAAATGGAAATTGGTGTTTGGATTGGATTGTCCTCTCCTTGCCTCCTCGGCTACACTTCAGAATTTGCCCAGAAACCAATTATAACACAGTAGGAAGGAGTTGATGTCCCTTCCAAGATTTTAATTCACTTCATGTGCTTCATTAACTGTCCCTTTTACTTCAGGTGTACCTTCAGCTTTTTAATTACACAGAGTAACCAGTTTTGTTTACTCCATTCAGGATGAGAAATATATCCACATTGATGAATCAGAAATGAAGAAAGTTGAAAAGTCTGTCAATGAAACGATGGAGTGGATGAATAATGTCATGAATGCTCAGGCTAAAAGAAGTCTTGATCAGGACCCAGTTGTACGTGGCAATGAAATAAAAATGAAGATAGAGGTGAGTGTTGCTACATAGCCCTGTTTTCTTTTCCTGAGCCTCCATCTGTGAGATTGTATCACCAGAGTAGCTCCCTGGACATTAAAGGTAGCTCCATTCTCAAGAAAGATTTCTCTTATCAGATGAGCCTCTGAGGACCTGCTCCTTTTATCCTCTCACCTGTACCTGAGCATTTACGCCTGGCACTTAATAAATGCTTGTTGATTGATTGAGTCACATCCCCTAGAAAAAGGCAAAGAAAAGTTAAATCTGATCAACAGTAGGGTCTTAAATGATGAGAGGCAGTGTGGTACAGTGGCTAGAGAGCCGGCCTTGGAGTCACGAACTGCTGTCTGGGTCCACCTCTGCCATATTCTGGCTCTGTGACCCTGGACCTCTCATTGCTCCTGGCCACCTTGCAAAACTTAAGTTCCTGCTGCATTCTTATCAGTGACACCGCAGTCCAGTTTATTTCCCTAATGAGAGCGATGAAGCTCGCTTTCCTTTCTCAACTTAGTGCACAGAAGAATGGCCTGGTGAAAATGTTTGTTCTGTCTTTGTTCAGTCTGCACAACTCAGATTTATGCAAGAGTTTAATATGTAAAATTCTATTTTAGCAGGATAGATTGGCATCGGATAAGGAAATTAGAAAGTGGAGAAGAAAAATCTCTCTAAAAAGGCATGAAGAAATCTGAACTAACTTCATTTTGTCTTTCTGCCTCAGGAATTAATCCATACTTGTGAACCAGTTGTAACACAACCAAAACCAAAAGTAGAATCTCCCAAGCAGGAAAAAACATTGAATGGCCCCAATGTGGATAAGAATGAAGGTTTTGAAGTGAAAAATAACATGAATGCTGAAGGCCTGCATCAGAATGGAGACTGTCATCCCAGTGACAACAGCACCATTCACATGGATTTGGACTAAATCACTTTAAGTTAAGCAGGGTCACTACCAACAAATGATGAAAATATTTTTTGCCGTAGTATGTAATTCTAAAAGACATACTGAGACTTATTTATATTTTCTTTTTTAAGAATGTTTAGAAATTTTTTGTGTATTAATGGAAAAATGCAAAGCTTAAGTCTGTAGTCATTATGATCCTAAAAGGGAAAATTGCCTTGGTAACTTTCAGATTCCTGTGGAATTGTGAATTCATACTAAGCTTCTGTGCAGTATTAACCATTTGCATCAGTAAGGATGAAATTGATTTTGTCTTCTGGAAAAAAAATGTACTGCTCATTCAAGAGGGTTGTGACTAAAAATCTTTAAGCATTTGTTTCTGCCAAGGTAGTTTTCTTGCATCTTACCCTCCATTTCCGCATGTGTGTGTGTGTGTGTGTGTGTGTGTGTGTGTGTAAATATGATTAAATATGACCTCATAAGGGCTTTCCAAAATTGTCTAATAGGGTAGAACTTTTTTCTTCATTATTATTATTTATATGTCATTGGGTAAAACAAAAGATAGTGAAATGTATTAGTAGCATGCAGAACAAAAACTTAAAATTTATCTCTTGCTAAACAGTACATTGTCCTGTGGAGATTTACCAATGGAGGAAATGTTGATCCTGTTGTAACTGGTATTGTGAAGCATTTAATGAGCTTTAATAATAAAGTTCATACAATGGTGTCATTTCTAAACTGTTGGCTTTGTTGGTTACTTTTAAACACTGATAGAAGCTTGTAGGACAGGCCACTTTTTGTGAAACCCCAATTCCCTTTTCATTTTTTTCCAATTTATAAAATTATAGCACCTCTTTAGTTCAAGATGGCAGCTTTAAGACAAGCTAACATTAGCATTTGTAAGTAAGGACTGAACACTGAGGTGTAGAAGGTATAATGAGCAACTGGGTGGGGGTAGTAGCTTAGTTTTATGTTTATTACTATTATTTACAAAAACAAAGATACTTGTTTATTTTAGAGAGGTGGAGTCTCTAGCCTATTTGTTGTACCATTACTTTCCCACCACCCAACCCTCCACACACAAAACACAAAAAAGCTGAAACATTCTCTGGTAGTAAAATGTCAGTAATTTTGTATTTACATTGTTTGAAGTGCTCATTCCTTTAGGCTCCGTATACTGTTACTCGGCACTTAATCTTGAAGGTGTAAAACAGTGAATTCCAAAACCTATTACAGGAAGACAACTTTAATAGGCATCAAGTGATACTACAACTGTTAATGTATCCAAAAGTTAAATGTTCTATGGTTGAATCTGTTACCCTGAATCATTAGACACGAGACCATTGTGACTGAGGTGTTCTTAGTAACTGAGGGTTTTACCTTTTTATTCCAAGTCTTCTAAAAATGTATTATATGCTTTCCTTCTGCCTTAATTCAGTTCCATAAACAGCCTCTACTCTATGTAAGGTACAGTATTGGGCACTGGGTATTACAGGGGTGTTGAGCTAGGTGGTGCAGTGGATAGAGCACTGGACTTGAAATCGAGAAGACTCATCTTCATGAGTTCAAATCTGGAAATCGAGAAGACTCATCTTCATGAGTTCAAATCTGGCCTCAGACATTTATTAGGTGGGTGACCCTGGGCAAGTCACTTAATTCTGCCTCAGTTCCTAATCTGTAAAATGAGTTGGAGAAAGAAATGGTAAACTAGACCAGTATCTTTGCTGAGAAACCCAAAATGGGATCACAAGAAGTCAAACATGACTGAACATTACAGGGGTTAAAATTAGTCTCTTCTTTCCTTCAAGGAACTTGGTCTAGTGAAAGAGAAGGTATTAAAGGATGGATAAGTAAGTATAATACAAAGGAGTGTGTGACAGGCAAAAAGACCAGTTCACATAGGAAAAATTTTAGCAGGAGTGTGTGTAAGATTACTTTCACAGGAGTTATCTCTGAGATGGGATTCGAAAGAGGAGGAAGACATATTAGAATGTGGAAGAAAGACTTTTTAGTAGAAAAATCAACATACCTATTTACCATGTTTGCTAGTATTTACTATGTTAGGTGCTGGGAATACCACACAACTATTCCTGGTCACAAGAAACTTGTCAGTGACATGGCCTTTTTGTTGGGGAAATGTATAATGCATGAGAAATACCTGTAACTAGAGCTATGAATGATGTGAAGTGTCAGGATGAATAGCTGTGGTGGAAAGTGGAGCTGGAACTTGCTTTTTCTCTTATTTTAACATTTTCAATTATTTTTTAATTTAATATGAATTTTTCTAACATTTTAAAAAATTTTGCATTCCAAATTCTCTTCCTCCTTTCTGCCCCTCCTCCCTCCCTGAGAAGGCAAACAATTTTATATCAATTATACATATGAAGTCATGCAAAACAGTTCTATGTTAGCCATGTTGCAAAAGAAAAGCAAGACAAGAAAAAAATATTTTAAAGTATGCTTCAATCTGTACTCAGTTCTTCAGCTCTCTGTGGAGGCAGATGACATTTTTCATCATGAGCCCTTTGTAATTGTCTTGGATAGTTGTTGATCATCCTTACAATAGTACTATTACTGTGTACAGTGTTTTCTTGGTTCTGCTCACTTCACTTTACATCAGTTCATGTAAGTCTGCTGGTTTTTCTGAAAGCATCCTGCTTGTTATTTCTTGTAGCACGATAGTATTCCATCACAATCATAAGCCACAACTTGTTTAGCCATTCCCAAATTGATGGGTGTCCCTCTTCCAATTCTTTGCCCTCTGGGTGTTGTTCCAAATCACTCTACAGAGTGGTTGAATCAGTTCACAACTCCACCACCAGTGCGTCAGGGTCCCAATTTTTCCACATCTTCTCCAGCATTTGTTATTTTTATTTTCTGTTATTAGCCAATCTGATAGGTGTAAGGTAGTACCTCCGAGTTATTTTAATTTGCATTTCTCTAATCAGTAGTGATTTAGAGCACTTTTTCATGTGACTATTGATAGCTTTGATTTCTTCTGAAAACTGCTTGTTCGTATCCTTTGACTGTCTACTAGGGGAATGGCTCTTAACTTTTATAAATTTGTCTCATGAAACTTGCTTTCTCGATCAAAGCATTTGACTCTAAAGTAATTCACAATGCTTTCAGAAATAAGTCCTAGGGATGTGTCATGGAATACCCTTCAGTAACATGCCTTCCTTTAGTGAACATTAGCTTTCTATTAGATTTGCTGCAATTATAGTGTTTTAGGGTTGGGACACTAGGTACTTCTTTCCTTTATAACCCATTTTCCCAAACTCTTCTGCTACCATCCTAGTCCAGCAGGTTTACAACCTTGGTGTCAGGATTACTCTTCCTTCTCATTCACCCTTGTTTATCCCATCAGTTGCCAAATCTTGGTGACTCTGCCTCCAAATCCAACCCAACCCAATCCAGTCCAATAAACATTTATCAAGTACCTACTATGTGCTGTAAAGCACTGTGCTAAGTGTTGGGGATACAATTAGCAAAAACAGTTTCTGCTTTCAAGGAGCTTTACAATCTGATAGGGTGAGAAAACAAGCAAAAGGAGACAAGGAAGAAGGAGTTGGGGGTGGGGAGGGGCATCAAACATGGAGTTGAAACCTGGCAAAGCAGCAAATGGCAGAGTGGAGTGAGCTGAACAGTCTGATTTCTTCTGTAAAGAAAGGCATTGGGAGGAGTTTGGGGCTCAGCCCTCCAATCAGAGGACAGAGGAGGCTGAGGGAGGCAATGGATACCATATCCAGCTATCCCCTTCTCACTGACAGCCACTAGCCCCGGTATCAGAGCCATTACAGAAAGTTCTTTGTAATAATGCCCAAAAAGTTAAAAGCTGGCATACCCTCTGACCCAGCTCTACATACCTACTCCCATTTTATCTCAAAAGAGGAGGAAAAGGATGTACATATGGTAGGTCCAGGGTTTCCCACTTCCTGGCAATAGGGATTATTTTTCCCTAAAAGGCAACAAAACTGTCCCTGGGATTTGCTTGGCCCCTGCCTCCTTTGATGAAGCTTCCTAGTCACTTAGGGGCATAAAAAATAATAACATTTATGTAGCTTTTACTATGTGGCAGGCACTGTGGTAAGCACTTTGCAGTTATTTGATCCTCGCAACAACCCTAAAAAGTGGGTCCTATTATTATACCCCATTTTACAGATGAGGAAACTGAAGGAAATAGGTTAAGTGACTTGACGAGAGTCACACAATTAGTAAATATCTGAGGCTGGTTTGGAACTCAGGTCTTCCTGACTCCAGGTCTAACCTTCTATCCATTTCACCTAGCTACCCCCCAAAGAGTCCCACTCATGCACAGTTGACTTGCACATACATCACAAGCCATGTTTCTATATGAAGATGAGGGAGCCATGCCCAAGGTAACCTTATTGCGTATCCCTGCTATGTTAGGGCAAAGTAAACCTTTTGTTAACTACTCGAGTCTTTTGAATGCTTTAGTGTCCCATCAGAGTGGTGGTGTTAAGCCTGTCTCTAAGAGTACAAAAACATAGCAGATCTTTTTGCAGTAGCTGAAAATTGGAAACTAAAGGGGTGTCCTGTTGGGGAATGGCTAAACAAATTGTAATATAGAAAAGTGATGGACTATTATGCCGCAAGAAAGGATGAAATGAACAATTTCAGAGGAAACTGGGAAAATCATATGAACTGATGTACAGCAAAATGAGCAGAGCTAGGAGAACAATTTATGTAATGATAACATACAGATAAAAAACTGGCAAACCAGAAGTCTGATCACATGTTCCAAAGAAGGAAGAAATATACCATTCGCTTCCTGATCAGATAGGTAATGAGCCTAAAAAAATACAGAAAGACATACATTTTCACACATGTTTAATGTAAGAATATGTTTAGCTGGACTATGTAAATATGTATTGAGAGATTTTTTTAAATGTTTGTTTTAATTTGCTCAATAGGGGAGGTTAGGAGGGTGAGGGGCATGGCAGGAATGATAGATTAATTTTTAAAGTATTTGTTACTTGAAAAAAAAAAGCTACCTCCTTTATTCAGGCCTTCATTGCCTCTTGCCTGGACAATGGTAGTAGCCACCTAATCTCCCTGCTGCTGGTTTCTCTTTCAATCCATCCTCCTCATGATTGTAAAATTAATGTTCTTAAAATGCAGATGGGGCTATGTCACTCTCCTATTGAAAATTGTTGGGTAAGCCCCAGTTGCCTTACGTTGTCATTTAAAGCTATTTATAATAAGGTTCTTACCTACATTGCGAGTTCTATTTCATCTTCGTGTGTTCACTATTCCAAAATGGTTGGCCATCTGGCCTCCACACAAATTCCATCTCCTACCCCTGTGCCATTTCAGAGGAGGCTGTAAAGGACTCCCTCCTCACGTCTAAATCATCTCTAGCTTCCTTGCTTTGATCGAGAATAAGATGCTGAGGCCTCTCATGATTACCTGTCCCCCCACCCCGAGGTGTCTTAGTTTGCTCACATCCTTGAAATTATTTTGAATCCCTTGGTATTATTAGTGAAAACTAGTATGGTGCAATGGACAAGAGGGCTAGACTTCAAGCAAAGACTTGGGTTCTAGGCTTGCTTTGGATACATACTGGCTGTTTGACTAGAGGCAAGTCACTTAATCATTCAGTTTCTCCAAGCAACTCTAGATACCGAATTGTAAGAAGCATTGCTGATCTAGATAAATCATAAGAATGGCCTATCTGAACCCTTCCCAACCCCAACATAAGAACCTATGTTCTTTAT